GTTCTGCTCCCACAAAGATTGACAGCCTCAGAAACCCTCTACAGGGTCGCTATGAGTCGGAACCGACTCCACGGCACACCACCACCTCAATTAGACAGGTTGATGCAGTAGCAGCATCAATGGGCTCAAACATAACGATTCTGAGGATGGAGGAGAACCATGACGTATTTCATTCTGTTGTGCATGGAATCAGTTGTAACTGTAAGTTGAAACTGACTTGACAGCAGCTAACAGCAGCAACACCACAGAGGCAGAAAGCAGATGAATGGTTGTACAGAGCTTGTGAGGAAGAAAGGGAAAACGGGAGTGACTGCTGAATGGTACAGCGTTTCATTTTGGGGGATAAAAATGTTCTAAAATTATTGTTAGGTGCTTTCTAGTCAGTTCCGACTCATTGTGACCTTAATGCACAACAGAACGAAACACTTCCCGGTCTTGTTCCAGCCCCACAATTGTTAAGCTTGATCCCATTGCTGCTGCCACTGTGCCAATCAGTCTTGTTGGTGGGGGTGGGTCTTCCTCTTTTTCACTGACCACTCACTTTACCAAGCATGATGTCCTTCTCCACAGACTGGTCTCTCCTGACAATAGGCCCAAAGCATGAGAGATGAAGTCTCACCTTCCAGGCTTCTAGAGAGCATTCTGGTTATACTTCTTCCAACACCGATTTTTTTTGTTTTTCTGGCAGTCCATGGTACTTTTACTGCTCTTCTGCAACACCATAATGAAAATGCATCAATTCTACAGTCTACCTTATTCACTGGCCAACTTTCACATGCATATGAGGCTACTGAAAATACCATGGCTAGGGTCAGGTGTACCTTAGTCCTCAAACTGACATCTTTGTTCTTGAACACTTTAAAGAAGTATTTTGTAGCAGATTGCAATGTTATTCTAAAATTAGACAGTGGTTACTGTTGTGCATTTCTGTGATTCTATGAAAAACCCCTGAACTCTATTTTCAATAGGTGAATTTTGTGCCATGTAAATTACCTGAAGCACCATAGGGGTATCGTGTTGGTGTCCCCATTGCTGTTGGTGACCACAGTGTACAGGTCAATCTGCCCTGTGTTCTCATTCATAGGTAGCTGCTACAGACGTTGTATTTTAACAAAGCTGTGACACACAGTAAAGTCTATGTGACACAGACTAGAACTGCCCATACTGGTAGGTACTTGACTCTAATCTTTACGGGACCAAATCTCCAGGGATTTCTCTTACCAAAGGCACAGGGTGATTTTGAAACAGCAAACTTTTCTAAACACCAAGTGCTTAATTGTTTTCACTACCATATGTATGATGTATGAGAGACCAAGTCTGGCCATCCTGGCTTCTAAGGAACATTCTGACTTTATTTCTTCCAACACAGAATTGATTTTTCTTTTGGTGGTCTGAAGTACTTTTAATATTCTCTTCCAACACTATACTTAAAATAAATTAATTCTTTTACAGTCTTCCTTATTCATTTATCAACTTTCTCATGCATATGAGCTATTGAAAATACAACCCTGGCACACACTTTTCCCAATTTTAAACCTTTAAACCTTTCAGTGCTCCATCTTTTATTCAAACAAGTGCCTCATGATCTATGTATATGTTCCTCAAGAGCACAATTAAGTGTTCTGGAATACTATCTGCAATGTTGTCCATGGCTTGTCATAATCCATACCATAGAAAACTTCTGCATAGTCAATAAAGCACAGGTAAACATCTTTCTGGTATTCTTTTCTTTCAGCCAAGATCCATCTAACATCAGAAATGATATTCGTGTTCTGCATTCTGTATCCTTGTCTGAATCCAAATTGTATCTCTGGCAGTTCCCTCTCAATGTACTGTTGCAGCTTTTTTAGAGTCCTGGTGTGGTGCTGTGGGCTAAGGCGTCAAACAGCAAAGATGCTTGAACTGCAAGGTCAGTGGTTCAAGCTCACCAGCTGCTCCTTGGAAACCCTATACAGCTTTGCTATGGGTCAGAATCAATTCGATAGCACTTAACAACAACAACATAGCAAAAATGTACTCGCATGTGATATTAATGATCTTGTCTGATGGTTTCCACATTCTGTTGGGCTACCTCTCTTTGGAATGGACACAAATAGGATTTCGTTCAATCAGTTTGGCAGGTAGCTGTCTTACAAATTTCTTGGCATTGATAAGTGAGTGCCTCTAGTGCTGAATCAGTTTATTGAAAGATTATAATTTGTATTCCATCAAAGCCTTGTTCTTGGCCAATGCCTTCAGTGAACCTTCTTCCTCCAGCATCATTGACTCTTGATCATATAGTATCTCTTGAAATGATTGAACATTAACCATTTCTTTTTGGTACAGTTACTCTGTGTAGTCCTTCCATCTTCTTTTGATTCACCATTCAATCTTTTGTCCATGGAATCCTTCAATATTGCAAGTTGAGGCTAGATTTTTTTCTCCAGTTATCTGAACTTGAGAAATGTTGAGTGTGTTCTTCCCTTTTGGTTTTCTAACTCCAGGTCTTTGTACCATTTATTATAATGTTTGACTTTGTCTTCTTGAGCTGCCCTTTTTGTTCAGTTCTTTTTACTCCTCATTTCTTCCATTTGCTTTAGCATCCCTACACTGGAGAGCAAGTTTTAGAGCCTCTTCTGACACCAATTTTGGCCTTTCCTTCTTTCTTTTCTTCTTAATGACCTTTTGCTTTCTTCTTGTATGTTTTTGATGTCACCCCACAGCTCCTCTCTCTAGTCTTGGGTCATGAGTGTTTAATTCATCAAATCTGTTCTTGAAATGATCTTTAAATTTAGGTGGGATGATGTTTGTGGACTTTTAAAATTTTTCTTCTGCCTCTGCCAGAACATTCATATGAGCACTTGATGGTCTGTTCCATAGTGCCCCCCAGACCTTCTTTTGGCTGCTG